AATTGTTCAGATTGAATTTACCCCCATGATGCATAAAGTTCTAATGTAGGCTCTATGCAAGGCGTATTATTGTGTGGCAGAATATCGGTCAGGATTAGGATTAATACTGGAAACAATCCATTTTATACTTTTGCAATGTCACATTCAGAATATTAATTGTATTTTGCACATTGCATTGAGCATTTATTTGAAACTGGTGAGATAGTCATAGCATCTATAGATTTATGGACCCACTTTTTCTAATTTAGAGGCATTTCTTAACAAGGTATTTAAAACCAATGCATCTTTAGCAGACAAGAAACTTATTTTCTCTATTTGACCGCATGACAGGTGTTTCAATCAGCATTGCAAATAAAGCTTTTAATATTCTTTTTATTATGTGACTCTGCATTATTTCACTAACCTTCAAATCCTGTTAATGTGATGAAAACAATTTTCTTGTGTGCAATTTGTAACATGTAAACCAGCAATGTGTGAAAATGGTAAGAGACAGGGAACTGAGTTCCAAGGGGTTGTACATTTGACTGTTGCAAAGTGTTAGTTCTATTCAATCCTGCTGAGGCACAAATGTGGAGCTTATTGTGAGGTTTTCTATGGGTCACTCAGAACAGATCAAGATTTACTGACCAGGTCATGACAAGCAGTAAAAAGGTTTTTGGCAATTAGTCAGGAGGAAGCAATGAAGACAGTATTTAGTACTAAGGCACTTGTCAGTTTACTCAACATGGAAGGAAGCTGTCTGCCAGAAAGCTAGCAGTTAGGCAAAGAGAAGCAGTAAGCCATGATGGTTTATCATTGAAATCAGGGCAAGGAATACCCCTGAGTAGGAGTTTCCTTCTCAGAACAGCTAAAGAGCTGGAATTGCGCCATGATGAGATGTTGGAGCTTCGCTTTGTGAATCCAGTATGATGCAGTCTCTGGAGACAGGATTAAGGAACTGGAAGGTAAGCAGTCATTGAGACAATCCACATTTTGAGTGAGTTCTAAAGCTAGGCCTTTGAAAGAGAAGAAATTGGAATCCTTGTAAAGTTTGAAGTGTAATGAAATTTGATAACCCAAAGTATCACTAATGTCTGGAAGTGGAGTTGCTGAGAAATGTTTGGAATCTGTCTTGAACATATTCACTATTTGATGATCTGTGTGGGGTGGTTAATCACAGTTTGTTACCCATATTCGCCTTATGTTAATTCTGTTAAGGAGAAAATAATTTGTGCATTTATATTGTAACTTAGATTATTTTTCTTACTTTGCATACATAGAAACATTTTAAAAATGCGCAGGAGTTGGCCCTTGAGCCCTTTGAAACTGCTGCACCATTCATTATGACCATTGCTGATCACCCAATTCAAAACCCTGTTCAACTTTTCACCATACCGTTTTATGCCTTTAACCCCCTGAACCAAATCAAACTCCTTCTTGAAAATATTCAATGTTGTGGCCTCAAATTTTTTCTGTGAGAGAATACCACTGGCTCACGACATTCGTAAGTCCGACTCCATGTCCTGTATCCTTAGACTATGACCCCTGGTTCTGGACTCCCCGGTCATCAGAAACATCCTGTGTTTACACTGTCTAGTCCTGTTAGAATTTTATAGGTTTCTAAGAGATACCCCTTCATTCTTTTAAACTCCAGTGAATGCATTCCTAACTGTTTATGGCCCTAACTGATTCAGTCTTTTCTCATCCATTTGTCCTTCCATCCCAGGAATCAATCTGGTAAAACTTCACTGCATTCCTTCCATAAACCTAACATCCTTCCTCAGATAAGAAGACCAAACTGCACACAATACTCCAGCTGTGATCTCACTTAGGCCCTGTAAAATTGTAAAAAGACATTCCTTCTGTAGTACTCAAGTCCACTCATTATGAAGACAAACATGCAATTTGCCTTTTTCACTGCCTGTTGACTGAGGGCTTTAAAAATCGAAATGATAAACTTGTCGCCGAAAATTCAACCTAGACATTAAATTAAAACTTGATGAACTTAAGGTAACTGAAAGCTTTATGATATAATATGTAAAGCACCTTGAACAGGAGAAGGAATTGCTGATGAATCAGAACAGCTGTTTGAATAAAGAGTTGACGACACAGACTGATGAAGTATTGGAACACTGTCTTGAAACAAAGGTAACTGAACTGACCAGAAGAATTGATCAGCTGAATTAAAAGATTGGCATGCTTGATAATGCATTAGAAAATGAGACAGTAAACAAATGCTTGGAGGAAATTATGAAAGAAGTGGAAATGAAATGTCCACTTTTGATGAAGTAGAATGGACGAAATAACTGTGTGCAGAAGGCTGTGGCTCATCACTCAGATAAACTCAAAAATAGGACGGCAGGAAGAGAGCAAATCTCCCTAGGTGCATATTTATTCACCTGACATGACAAAATCTATTGTGGAGGAAGTGAATGAAGAAGATGATTTTAAAACTGGTTGTCAATCAGAAATAGATACTTTCTATAGGAAACTTAAAGTTATGAGAAGCTCAAGTTCTTCTTTAGTCCAGTTGAAAAACCAATGCAACATTCATTTCATAATATACCATATTAATATGCATTCATATGTGAAGAGAGAGAGGCTGCCGGTGTATTTGGTTTGCAGTTACACCAGAAAGCTTGAAAACCCATTGTGCAAATTACATGTACAAACTGGTCAAGATGCTTCTAAAGAAAACTTTGCATCTTCACTGCATTTGGTTCACCATAAAAAGATTATGAACATTCAAATAATTGTTGATGTTCCATCCAGTGCTTAAAGAGTGAGTCTAGAAAAATGCAGGCATTTAGTGAAATGATGTGTAAATCCCACTAATCCTACAAGTTAGTCGACAGAATTAAAAGATTACAGGCAGTTAGTCAGGAGCAGGTGAACGTGGCTATTCTTAAGGTACTTCTACATTTAATAGCCCCTGAAAATAATCTGTGTGCCAGCGAATTGGAGATTGAGCAAAGAAAAGTCTGTAAGCAGTTGTGATCTTTTAATGAAGTTGGAGCAAAGGAATGCCTGAGAATATGGGTGTTCTTCTCAAAGCAGCTGAAGAGCTGGAAGGGTGTCAGTTTTAGACACTGGATTGAAACCTTGTGAATCTGGAAGATGGCATTGAAAAACAGAGAGGCAATAGTAGTTGAAGCATTCTGTAATGGAGTAGTTTTTAAGTCAGTTCCAAAATGAGGACTTTAAAAGTCAAGAAACTTGAATTTTGAGATTTGATGGCCAACAATATAACTTATATCTGAGGGGTTGCTATGAAGTCTAGGATCCATCTTGACCACATTTGTAATTTGATGTGTTCTGTGGGGGGATAGATCACAATTTGTTACCTATATTTACTTCATGCTGGTTCTGATTGTGAAAACATAATTAGTATCTTCCTCGGAAATTTTAGTACTGTCCTAACTTTGTACAGAAAAGCTTATTGTTTGTTTAAAACAATAGAATCTTGTGGCTATATTCTGTCAGTTAATACTTGAATCTCACACTTTGTCTACTTGTAAAAAAAATGTTATTGACCCCTAACATCACAAAATTTGGCCATCTAGTCCACGATCTTAACAACATACTTGCAAAGTCACTTTGAGTTTGTTTGTTTTGTAACTTTTGGTGTACTCATGTTGTGATGAACATATGGTTGGCAAAGTTTTCTTGTGATCTCGTATGATCTTTATTAATATCAATATTTTTGGACAAACCTCGCGTGTTGAATGTCATGTTTTATTGAAAGGTAGCGCCATCAAATCCAGGGGTGCAGATGACAACAAACAAAAATGCTGAGGAAACTCAAGAGGTCTGACAGCATCTGTAGGAAAAAAGCAGAGTTAACATTTTGAGTCTTGTGACCTTTCTTCAATCCAGGATTCTGAGATTTACTCATGTCTTAAACTGATGATCCATTTTACTGTATGATTTTCAATTAGAGAGGTACCAAGTCTTTTATTTTTCAACTTCCCACTACTAGATAGCATAGTCAGTACAATGTTATCGTCATTTTGCTACATGTTTTCACGTATAACTGCACCTCCTGTACAAATCGATTCCAGAACAAGTTGTTTCCAATTCCAGCCAAAGGTTGTTTCAAGTTTGTTCTCCAGGGATTAATGAAATGCCCACTTTGTTGCTTGATGAAATTATGCACTGGAGTTGATGGTAAATCTGTTATCATAATTTGGTTAACACGCTTTCTGAAATGTTGCCAGGAGTTGCTTTATGGTGGAACCTAACTGTCAATTTTTCAGAAATGTTTTTAAAAGCAATTACATTCCTTTGAAAGTTAGGTACGTAGTTGAGATATCGGGCTCCATTTATTTTTACCTCTGGGACTTGGATTAAATATTTTCTGGATGATATTGTCATTTTGATTCGAGATGTTACACTCCTACATGAAATGAGTTTTAGTGGTTTTCACCTAGTTTCTATTACACTCAGGCTGGGAGTAGAAAGCTGTTCATTATTCAGTGCGGAATTAACACTATTATTCTGAGATAATACACAGCAGACTGGTGTGAGAGATGGAAAATGTCACATTGGCCCAACAGAATACAATACTGAATTTGTAGTTGACATTTTTGTTTGTTTTTTCCTGAATAGAGGAAGTTTTAATTGGTATGTAACATGCACTACACCTGACCATTATGTACTTAATACTGACACTAAGCAGGAAAAGAGGAAAGGTGTTTTGGTATCTAGAATGAATACGCCTCATTTAGGCAAACATGCACATTCTTCTCAATATGCCAATTTAAAAATTCAGAACTTTATATCTGGGTAGCAGTGAAAAGTCTGTGATCTGACACTGTCCCAATACACTAACTGTTATTCAAATAGAACACTCGCCCAGCTGTTAATTAGACAACTTTTGAATGAATCTCTCCTGTCGTATCAAGGTCATTGCCTTATTTGCTTTGTATTTTTTAATCTCATCTTGGCAGCTTGCAGTGTTTATTCAGTTCTTTTAAATTACAGAAGAGTTTCAATTTAACTCAATTTGTGCTCTGTTCCAGCTATGTATGAACAATCCTGTGAGGCATATAAGCATCTTGGTAAAACATCGGATACTTACTGGATCGATCCTGATGGCAGCGGTCCACTAGGACCATTCAAAGTCTACTGCAATATGACAGGTAAAGTATTAATGATTCTATGTCAACACCAAGCTTCCTAACTCATATGCATGACATTGTATAACCTTCCACTATAATCTCCAGTCTTTTGTTTAGTCAGTTACTGTTTCTTGTTAATTTATACTGAAAGAACCTGTAATGAAGCCTGTAATTTGACAACGAAAACTCGAGTTTTCCTTCATTCCTCAAAAGAAAATATTTATTATATTCTGAAGTCATTAGACATGGATTCAGTCGTAGATCCATTCCCATCCAAGCATAAAAAAAGAGTTTTTATCTTACATAGAATAGAACGTTATACACAGGTCAGACTGCTGGAACTTTGCAATTCAACTGCATGAAAATTGCTCTTTGTCCCATTGTAATTGTAATTAATTGGTTTGATCATTAACTAATATATTTTTCTTGAGTGGATCTCAATATTGACAATTCTCTTTCACATGACCAAATTAACTAGTTGCAATTTTTAAAATATATAATTCATTTGAAGCAATCTTAATCTTAACAGCTTGAGAGTAACAATTCATTATTTCCAACATGGAATAAAATGGCATGTGTTTTTGCATACACATTAGTGACATACTCCTCACTGAAACGTTTAAAGAATGTGTGAATCCAAATTAAACACAGTAATGTTGGAAATGCGTGTCAATTAACATCTGAAATTAGAAGATCTTCAGTGTTTTGGTTGGGACCTTAATTAAAGCGGGAAGTGCTGATTTTTTTTTTGTGCAGTTTTGGTCTCCACTCTGTGGAAGGACATACTTGTTATTAAGGGAGTCCAGCAAAGCTTCACCAGACTGATTCTCAGGATGGCAGGACTGACATGTGAGGAAGGATTGAATCAACTGGGCTTGTATTCACTCGAAATTAGAAAAATGAGAAATGTTCTCAGAGAAACATATAAAATGCAGATGGGACAGGGCAGGCTAGATGCGGGAAGAATGTTCCCGATGTTGGGGAAGTCCAGAGCGAGCGGTCACAGTCTAAGAATGAGGGATAAGCCATTCAGGACTGAAATGAAGAAGAATTTCTTCACTCAAAGAGTTGTGAACCTGTGGAATTTTCTCCCACAGGAAGCTTTTGGGCCATTTCAGTAGATATATTCAAGAGGGAGCTGGACATGGCTTTTGTGGCTAAAGTGATCAAGGGTATTGAGAGAGGGCAGGAATGGGATACTGAAATTGAATGGTTGTAGAGGCCCGAAGGGCCAAATGGCCTACTGCTGCACCTATTTTCTATGCTTCTCAGTTTCTATGAATCAGGAGGATTATGAAACACACAAGGAATAATGGAGAGGAACAGATACATTTGAAGTGTATAAATGCTGACTGCCATCATAAACAGGCAACATTTTGATATAACAAGGTGTAGAGCTGGATGAATACAGCAGGCCAAGCAGCATCAGTGGAGCAGGAAGACTGACATTTCGGGCCTAGGCCCTTCTTCAGAAATGGGGGAGGGGAAGGGGGTTCTGAAATAAATGGGGAGAGAGGGGCAGGCGGATAGAAGATGGATAAAGGAGAAGATAGGTGGAGAGAAGACAGACAGGTCAAAGAGGCGGCGATTCTCCTTTATCCATCTTCTATCCACCTCTCCCTCTCTCCCTATTTATTTCAGAACCCCCTTCCCCTCCTCCATTTCTGAAGAAGGGCCTAGGCCCGAAACGTCAGCTTTCCTGCTCCTCTGATGCTGCTTGGCCTGCTGTGTTCATCCAGCTCTACACCTTGTTATCTCAGATTCTCCAGCATCAGCAGTTCCTACTATCTCTGAAACATTTTGATATATTAGCTTTAATGACATCATAAGATGCTGTAAAGAGGTATGAGCCTTTGAATATTATAGACAGGTCATCTCGGTCTGGTGTATGACCCAGTGATGGAAAAAAAATGGATACATGGAAGGGAGAATGTCCACATTGTGCAAGGCACCTCTTGTGAAACTAGCGGAACAATTGAAAGCAAATGACATCAGAAGCTATGAAGCTGATTTTCAGATTAGAGACATAAACTTGCCACAGGTCCTCTTATTAATATTGGATAGAATGCCTCTGAAAATTTAGGAAATTTTAAAGAGTGCACAAAACTTGCTGAGCAGGTTCAGAGCAAAGTTATTGAGAAAGGTGATGAGCATTGGGCAGTCAGGCATTGAGCAAAAGAGTCCATCTTCTATGCGTGACCAGGGTGAAGAGGCTCGAAAGCTGTGTTGCCTGCCTGGTGCATGGGTTCAGGATATCTCAACTGGGCTGCAGAGGAACTTGGAAGTGGGAGTGGAAAGATCCAGTTGTCGTGGTCCATGTAGGTACCAATGATATAAGTAGAAAGAGGAAAGAATTTCAGCTGAGGAAGTATGACCAGCTAGGCACCACATGAGAAACAGAACCAAAGAGGTAATAATCCCCGATTACTATTTGAGCCAGAGCTAATTGGCACAGTGTCAGCAAGATTTAAGAGGTAAATGTGTTGCCTAAAAAATTGGAGTGGAAGAAACAGGTTTGAATTCATGCGACATTGCACCGATGCTGCGGAAGAAGGGAGCTGTTCTGATGGGAGGGACTCCATCTGAATCATCAAAATAAAAAAGCCTCTTTGGTTCTGCTTTCTCATGTGGGCATCATCTGAACATATGCAATGGAGATGGAGGAACTGAGAGATTGGGATGGAGTCTTTACAGGAAGTGGGTTGTGAGGATGTACAGTGCAGAAAGCTGTGGGAGTCAGTGAGTTTGTAGTGGATATTAGTGGCCAGTCTATCCCCAGAAATGGAAACAGAAATGTCAAGGAAGGGAAGGGAGAAGTTAGAGATAGACCAGGTGAAAGTGAGGGCAGGGTGGAAATTGGAGGTGAAATTGATGAAGTTTTCCAATTCCAGACGAGAGAGGGAAGCAGCACCGATTATATCATCGATGTATTGGAGAAAGAGTTGTGGGTGGGGGCCCGAATAGGACTGGAACAAGGAATGTTCCACGTACCCCATGAAGAGACAGGCATAACTAGGGCCCATGCGGGTACCCATGGCAACCCACCTTACCTGAAGAAAATGAGAGGAGTTGAAAGAGAAGTTGTTGAGGGTGAGGACAATCTCGGCCAAGCGGAGGAGCGTGATGGTGGGTGGGGATGGTTCAGGTCTTTGCTCCAGGAAGAAGCGGAGAGTCCTAAGACCTTCCTGGTGGGGAATGGACGTGTAAAGGGATTGCACGTCCATGGTAAAGAGGAGCTGTCAGGAACCGGTAAACTGGAAGTTTTGAAACCGGCGTAAGGCGTCAGAGGAATTACGGATGTGCATGGGTAGGGATTGGAGCACGGGGGCGAAGACTGAGTCAAGCTAGGAAAAGATGAGCTCTGTGGGACATGAGCAGGCTGAAACAATGGGTCTGCCTGGACAGTCCTGTTTGTGAATTTTTGGCAGGAGGTAGAAATGAGCTGTGTGGGTTTGGGGGACTATTAGCTTGGAAGCGGAGTGGGGGAGATCACCAGATGAAATGAGATCAGTTACCATAGTGGATACAATGGCCTGATGTGCCATGGTGGGGTCATGGTTCAAGGGAAGGTAGTCCTATTCCGGTCCTATTCTGGCTCCCACCCACATTTTTCTCGTTGCTCCTTGCCTAGTTAACTCCAGCCATCTCTGTTCTCAGTCCTTTGTAATCCCTCATTTAAATTTTACAAAGTTGCTTCTCACACTTGAACTGAATTCTAAATTCTACCAAGTCATGGTCACTGTTTCTGAGAGGATTTTTTTACTCTGAAATCATTTATTAAGCCTAGCTCATCAAGATCCGAGAAAGCCTGACATCTGATTGGATCAGCATATTGTTCTAGGAAAATGTCCCAAACACATTCTGTTAATTCTCTTTCATAACTGCATTTGCCAGTGTAATTTTTCCATCTACATGACTGGCAGATGGCAGAAAGTGTGGATAAAGAGGTCTTTTTCAGGATGACAGCCTATGACTATTGGTGTTCCGCAAGGTTCAGTGTTGGGACCGCAACTAATCACATTATACATTAACAATCTGGATGAAGGGACTAAGAGCATTGTCGCTAAGTTTGCAGATGACACGAAGATAGGTGAAGGTACAGGTAGTTTTGAGGAAGCAGGAAGCCTGCCGGATGACTTGGACAGGCTAGCAGAGAGGGCAAAATAGTGGAAGATGGTATACAATGTGGGAAAGTTTTAAGCTATGCACTTTCATAGGAAAAACAGAGGTGTACTTTTGAAATGGGAAAATCTTCTGAAATTTGAAGCACAGAGGGACTTAGGAGCCCCAGTTCAGGATTTTCCTAAGGTTGACATCCAGGTTCAGTTCACAGTTAGGAAGACAAATGTAATGTTAGCATTCATTTCAAGAGGGCTAGAATAGAAGAGCAAGGATGTGTAAGGCTGAGGGTGTATAATACTCTGGTCAGACCACATTTGTAATATTACAAGCAGTTTTGGTCCCCATATCTAAGGAAGGATGTGCTGGCCTTGGAGGGAGTCCAGAGGAGGTTCACAGGAGTTATTGTAGGGATGAAGGGTTTATCATATGAGGAGCGGTTGAGGACCGTGGGTCTGTACTTGTTGGAGTTCAGAATGATGAGGAGGGTGATCTCATTGAAACTTACAGAATACTGAGAGGCCTGGATAGAGTGGATGTGAACAAGATGTTTTCACCAGTAGAGAGAATAGAAGCCAAGGGCACAGCCTCAAAATAAAGGGACGACCCTTTAGAACTAAGATGAGGAGGAATTTCTTCAGCCAGAGAGTCGTGAATCCAAGGAACTCATTGCTTCTAAAGGTTATGGAGGCCAAGTCATTGAGTGTCTTTGAGACAAAGAAAGTTTGATCCTTGATTAGTAAGGAGATCAAAGGTTATGAGGAGAATGCATGAGAATGGGATTGAGAAACATATCAGCCATGATGCAATGGTGGAGCAGACATGATGGGCCGAATAGCCTAATTCTGTTCCCTAATGTTATGGTCTTAATGTCACCCATTGTTAATGTATTGCCTTTCCAG